AGTATTACTGCTAGTATTACTGCTAGTATTACTGTTAGTATTACTGCTAGTATTACTGTCAGTATTACTGTCAGTATTACTGCTAGTATTACTGTTAGTATTACTGCTAGTATTACTGCTAGTATTACTGCTAGTATTACTGCTAGTATTACTGTCAGTATTACTGTCAGTATTACTGCTAGTATTACTGTTAGTATTACTGCTAGTATTACTGCTAGTATTACTGTTAGTATTGCTGTTAGTATTACTGTTAGTATTACTGTTAGTATTACTGTTAGTATTACTGTTAGTATTACTGTTAGTATTACTGTTAGTATTACTGCTAGTATTACTGCTAGTATTACTGCTAGTATTACTGTTAGTATTACTGCTAGTATTACTGTTAGTATTACTGCTAGTATTACTGTTAGTATTACTGCTAGTATTACTGCTAGTATTACTGCTAGTATTACTGTTAGTATTACTGCTAGTATTACTGCTAGTATTACTGTTAGTATTACTGCTAGTATTACTGCTAGTATTACTGTTAGTATTACTGCTAGTATTACTGTTAGTATTGCTGTTAGTATTACTGCTAGTATTACTGCTAGTATTACTGTCAGTATTACTGTTAGTATTACTGTTAGTATTACTGTTAGTATTACTGCTAGTATTACTGCTAGTATTACTGCTAGTATTACTGTTAGTATTACTGCTAGTATTACTGCTAGTATTACTGTTAGTATTACTGCTAGTATTACTGTTAGTATTACTGCTAGTATTACTGCTAGTATTACTGTCAGTATTACTGCTAGTATTATTGCTAGTATTACTGCTAGTGTTACTGCTAGTATTACTGCTAGTATTGCTGCTAGTGTTACTGCTAGTGTTACTGCTAGTATTACTGCTAGTATTACTGCTAGTGTTACTGCTAGTGTTACTGCTAGTATTACTGCTAGTATTACTGCTAGTATTACTGTTAGTATTACTGCTAGTATTACTGTTAGTATTACTGTTAGTATTACTGCTAGTATTACTGTTAGTATTACTGTTAGTATTACTGCTAGTATTACTGCTAGTATTACTGCTAGTATTACTGCTAGTATTACTAGTATTACTGTTAGTATTACTGCTAGTATTACTGCTAGGATTACTGCTAGTGTTACTGCTAGTATTACTGCTAGTATTACTGCTAGTATTACTGTTAGTATTACTGCTAGTATTACTGTTAGTATTACTGCTAGTATTACTGCTAGTATTACTGTTAGTATTACTGCTAGTATTACTGCTAGTATTACTGCTAGTATTACTGCTAGTATTACTGATAGTATTACTGCTAGTATTACTGTTAGTATTACTGCTAGTATTACTGTTAGTATTACTGTTAGTATTACTGCTAGTGTTACTGCTAGTATTACTCCTAGTATTACTGCTAGTATTACTGCTAGTATTACTGCTGGTGTTACTGCTAGTGTTACTGCTAGTATTACTGCTAGTATTACTGCTAGTATTACTGTTAGTATTACTGCTAGTATTACTGCTAGTATTACTGTTAGTTTTACTGCTAGTATTACTAATATTACTGCTAGTATTACTGCTAGTATTACTTTTAGTATTACTGCTAGTATTACTGTTAGTATTACTGCTAGTATTACTGCTAGTATTACTACTAGTATTACTGTTAATATTACTGTTAGTATTACTGCTAGTATTACTGTTAGTGTTACTGTTAGTATTACTGCTAGTATTACTGTTAGTATTACTGCTAGTATTACTGCTAGTATTACTGTTAGTATTGCTGCTAGTATTACTGCTAGTATTACTGTTAGTATTTCTGCTAGTATTACTGCTAGTATTACTGTTAGTATTACTGCTAGTATTACTGCTAGTATTACTGCTAGTATTACTGTTAGTATTACTGTTAGTGTTACTGCTAGTATTACTGTTAGTATTACTGTTAGTATTACCGTTAGTATTACTGCTAGTATTACTGCTAGTATTACTGCTAGTATTACTGTTAGTATTACTGTTAGTATTACTGCTAGTATTACTGTTAGTGTTACTGTTAGTGTTACTGCTAGTATTACTGCTAGTATTACTGCTAGTATTACTGCTAGTATTACTGTTAGTATTACTGTTAGTATTACTGCTAGTATTACTGCTAGTATTACTGTTAGTATTACTGTTAGTGTTACTGTTAGTATTACTGTTAGTATTACTGCTAGTATTACTCCTAGTATTACTACTAGTATTACTGCTAGTATTACTACTAGTATTACTGCTAGTATTACTGCTAGTATTACTGTTAGTATTACTGTTAGTATTACTGCTAGTATTACTGCTAGTATTACTGTTAGTATTACTGTTAGTGTTACTGTTAGTGTTACTGCTAGTATTACTGCTAGTATTACTGCTAGTATTACTGTTAGTATTACTGTTAGTATTACTGCTAGTATTACTGCTAGTATTACTGTTAGTATTACTGTTAGTGTTACTGTTAGTATTACTGTTAGTATTACTGCTAGTATTACTGCTAGTATTACTCCTAGTATTACTACTAGTATTACTGCTAGTATTACTAGTATTACTGCTAGTATTACTGTTAGTGTTACTGTTAGTATTACTGCTAGTATTACTGCTAGTATTACTGTTAGTATTACTGCTAGTATTACCGCTAGTGTTACTGCTAGTATTACTGCTAGTGTTACTGCTAGTATTACTGCTAGTATTACTGTTAGTGTTACTGTTAGTATTACTGCTAGTATTACTGCTAGTATTACTGCTAGTATTACTGTTAGTATTACTGCTAGTATTACTGCTAGTATTACTGTTAGTATTACTGCTAGTGTTACTGTTAGTATTACTGCTAGTGTTACTGTTAGTGTTACTGCTAGTGTTACTGCTAGTATTACTGCTAGTGTTACTGCTAGTATTACTGCTAGTGTTACTGCTAGTATTACTGCTAGTATTACTGCTAGTATTACTGCTAGTGTTACTGCTAGTATTACTGCTAGTATTACTGCTAGTATTACTGCTAGTATTACTGCTAGTATCACTGTTAGTATCACTGCTAGTATTACTGTTAGTATTACTGCTAGTATTACTGCTAGTGTTACTGCTAGTATTACTGCTAGTATTACTGTTAGTATTGCTACTAGTATTACTGCTAGTATTATTACTAGTATTACTGCTATTACTGCTAGTATTACTACTAGTATTACTGCTAGTATTACTACTAGTATTACTGCTAGTATTACTGCTAGTATTACTGCTAGTATTACTACTGGTATTACTGCTAGTATTACTGCTAGTATTACTGTTAGTATTACTGTTAGTATTACTGCTAGTATTACTGCTAGTATTACTGCTAGTATTACTGTTAGTATTACTGTTAGTATTACTGCTAGTATTACTACTAGTATTACTGCTAGTATTACTGCTAGTATTACTGCTAGTATTACTGTTAGTATTACTGTTAGTATTACTAGTATTACTAGTATTACTGCTAGTATTACTGCTAGTATTACTACTTGTATTACTGCTAGTATTACTACTTGTATTACTGCTAGTATTACTGCTAGTATTACTGCTAGTATTACTACTAGTATTACTGCTAGTATTACTGCTAGTGTTACTGCTAGTATTACTACTTGTATTACTGCTAGTATTACTGCTAGTATTACTAGTATTACTGCTAGTATTACTGCTAGTATTACTAGTATTACTGCTAGTATTACTAGTATTACTGCTAGTATTACTACTGTTACTACTAGTATTACTGCTAGTATTACTAGTATTACTGCTAGTATTACTACTGTTACTACTAGCATTACTACTGTTACTATTATTACTGTTAGTGTTGCTGTTAGTATTACTGTTAGTATTACTGTTAGTATTACTGTTAGTATTACTACTAGTATTACTGCTAGTATTACTAGTATTACTACTGTTACTAGTATTACTGTTAGTATTACTGTTAGTTTTACTGCTAGTATTACTACTAGTATTACTGCTAGTATTACTGCTAGTATTACTGTTAGTATTACTGTTAGTATTACTGTTAGTATTACTGCTAGTATTACTGCTAGTATTACTAGTATTACTACTGCTGTTCCTATTACTACTGCTGTTACTAGTATTACTACTAGCATTAGTTAGTATTACTGCTAGTATTACTACTGTTACTACTAGTATTACTGCTAGTATTACTAGTATTACTACTGTTATTACAACTAGTATTACTGCTAGTATTACTACTGTTGCTACTAGTATTACTGCTAGTATTACTGCTAGCATTACTGCTGTTACTACTAGTATTACTACTGCTGTTACAACTAGTATTACTGCTAGTATTACTGCTAGCATTACTGCTGTTACTACTAGTATTACTATTGTTACAACTAGTATTACTGCTAGTATTACTACTGTTACTACTAGTATTACTGCTAGCATTACTGCTGTTGCTACTAGTATTACTGTTACAACTAGTATTACTACTGTTACTACTAGTATTACTGCTAGTATTACTGTTACAACTAGTATTACTGCTAGTATTACTACTGCTGTTACTAGTATTACTTCTGTTACAACTAGTATTACTACTGCTGTTACTAGTATTACTACTGCTGTTACAACTAGTATTACTACTAGTATTACTACTGCTGTTACTAGTATTACTACTGCTGTTACAACTAGTATTACTACTGCTGTTACTAGTATTACTGCTAGTATTACTACTGCTGTTACTAGTATTACTGCTAGTATTACTACTACTACAAATACTACTACCACCACAACTACTAGCACTACATCTACACCCACAGTTACACTACGATCTACCGAGTATTACACCGGGTTTCTGCTACAAGCTAGACAAGTCGCCCAGAACAGCGGGCGCTCGTTCTACGAATAGCCTCAGCGGAAGTGACTCGACTCGGATTGCTTGACGGAATCATACAAGCACCTTTCTGCAGAACGGAGGAATTCAGTGCAGACTCCGGAACGAGTTACTCCGGAATTGAATGCCGAAGTGCTCAATCCGGAAACTCCATGAACCAAGGGCACCGGATATTGCTGCAGTGGAATCGGATGGGAATTCAAGTGCACCGAAAACTCCAGCTGAACCGGAAGTTACTCCGGAATTGACCCCAGTGGACCCGGAAGTGGCTTCAAGTGCACCGGAAACTCCATCTGAACCGGAAGTTACTCCGGAAATGACTCCAATGGACCCGGAAGTGGCTTCAAGTGCACCGGAAACTCCAGTTGAACCGGAAGTTACTCCGGAATTGACCCCAGTGGACCCGGAAGTGGCTTCAAGTGCACCGGAAACTCCATCTGAACCGGAAGTTACTCCGGAAATGACCCCAGTGCACCCGGAAATGGCTTCAAGTGCACCGGAAACTCCAGTGGCACCAGAGGTGACTTTTGCGGCACCCGAAGTGACCGCACCGGCGCTGAAAGCATCTTCACTTAAACGAGGAGTGACCCAAACGTCAACGGAAGTGACCCCATTGGCACCGGAAGTGGCTTCAAGTGCACCGAAAGTGACCCAGATGCCGCCGGTGACACTGGTGGGCTGGTTCAACCTGGGGCACTCCCAGGGGCAGTACCTTGGTTGCCTCGGGGGCCCCCACGGAGGGGGCCACAGTACCGTGGTGGGCAGCTGGACGGGCACCCCCGTCAGGGCTGCCAATCTCACCTTCACTTGGCAGGCTCCCCAGGCTGATGTTGGTACCATTGTTTTCATGTGAGTACCTATGTGGCTCTAGTTCCTGGTCCCTGGTGCTAGTACCAGTGTGTGGGGCTCTAGCTCCTGGTCCCTGGTACTAGTACCAGTGTGGCTCTAGTTCCTGGTCCCCGGGTGCTAGTACCAGTGTGTGTGGCTCTAGTTCCTGGTCCCTGGTACTAGTACCAGTGTGTGTGGTTCTAGTTGCTGGTCCCTGGCACTAGTACCAGTGTGGCTCTAGTTCTTGGTCCCTGGTACTAGTACCAGTGTGTGGCTCTAGTTCCTGGTCCCTGGTACTAGTACCAGTGTGTGTGGCTCTAGTTTCTGGTCCCTGGTACTAGTACCAGTGTGTGTGGCTCTAGTTCCTGGTCTCTGGTACTAGTACCAGTGTGTGGCTCTAGTTCCTGGTCCCTGGTACTAGTACCAATGTGTGTGGCTCTAGTTCCTGGTCCCTGGTACTAGCACCAGTGTTGCTCTAGTTCCTGGTCCCTGGTACTAGTACCAGTGTGCGGCTCTAGTTCCTGGTCCCTGGTGCTAGTACCAGTGTGGCTCTAGTTCTTGGTCCCTGGTACTAGTACCAGTGTGTGGCTCTAGTTCCTTGTCCCTGGTGCTAAAACCAGTGTGTATGGCTCTAGTTCCTGGTCCCTGGTACTAGTACCAGTGTGTGTGGCTCTAGTTCCTGGTCCCTGGTACTAGTGCCAGTGTGTGTGGCTCTAGTTCCTGGTCCCTGGTACTAGTACCAGTGTGGCTCTAGTTCCTAGTCCCTGGTGCTAAAACCAGTGTGTATGGCTCTAGTTCCTGGTCCCTAGTGCTAAAACCAGTGTGTGTGGCTCTAGTTCCTGGTCCCTGGTACTAGTACCATTATGGCTCTAGTTCCTGGTCCCTGGTACTAGTACCAGTGTTCCTGGTCCCTGGTACTAGTACCAGTGTTCCTGGTCCCTGGTACTACTACCAGTGTGTACTTGTGGTACCTTGTACTAGTAACAGTGTGTGTTTAGCTCCAGTTCCTGGTCCCTGGTACTAGTACCACTATGTATAGCTCTAGTTCCAGGTCCCTGGTACTAGTTCCAGCGTGTGGCTCTAGTTCCTGGTCCCTGGTACTATTACCAATGTATGTGTAGCTCTAGTTCCTGGTCCCTGGTACTAGTTCCAGCGTGTGGCTCTAGTTCCTGGTCCGTGGTACTAGTACCAGTGTGTGTGTGGCTCTAGTTCCTGGTCCCTGGTACTAGTACCCATGTGTATGGCTCTAGTTCCTGGTACTAGTACCAGTGTGTGTGTGGCTCTAATTTCTGGTCCCTGGTACTAGACCCAGTATGTGTGTGGCTCTAGTTCCTGGTCCCTGGCACTAGTATCAGTGTGTGTCTCTAGTTCCTGGTCCCTGTTACTAGTATCAGTGTGTGTAGCTCTAGTTCCTGGTCCCTGGTACTGGTATCAGTGTGTGGCTCTAGTTCCTCGTCCCTTGTACTTGTACCACTGTGTATAGCTCTAGTTCCTGGTCCCTGGTACTAGTACCAGCCTGTGGCTCTAGTTCCTGGTCCCTAGTACTAGAACCAATGTATGTGTGGCTTTAGTTACTGCTCCCTGGTATTAGTACCAATGTGTGTGGCTCTAGTTCTTGGTCCCTGGTACTAGTACCAGCCTGTGGCTCTAGTTCCTGGTCCCTGGTACTAGTACCAATGTATGTGTTTCTTTAGTCCCTGGTCCCTGGTACTAGTACCAATGTGTGTGGCTCTAGTTCTTGATCCCTGGTACTAGTACCAATGTGTGTGGTTCTAGTTCCTAGTCCCTGGTACTAGTACGTGTGTATGGCTCTAGTTCCTGGTCCCTGGTACTAGTACCAGTGTGTATGGCTCTAGTTCCTGGTCCCTGGTACTAGTACCAGTGTGTGTGTGGCTTCAGTTCCTGGTCCCTGGTACTAGTACCAGTGTATATGTGTGGCTCTAGTTCCTGGTCCTTGGTCCTATACAAGTACCAGTGTGTGTGTGGCTCTAGTTCCTGGTCGCTGGTATTAGTACCAGTGTGTGTGGCTCTAGTTCCTGGTCGTTGGTCCTATACAAGTACCAGTGTGTGTGTGGCTCTAGTTCCTGGTCGCTGGTATTAGTACCAGTGTGTGTGGCTCTAGTTCCTGGTCGTTGGTCCTATACAAGTACCAGTGTGTGTGTGGCTCTAGTTCCTGGTCGCTGGTATTAGTACCAGTGTGTGTGTGGCTCTAGTTCCTGGTCGTTGGTCCTACACAAGTACCAGTGTGTGTGTGGCTTTAGTTCCTGGTCCTTGGTCCTATACAAGTACCAGTGTACTCACCTATTTGTACTCACCTATTTGTGGTTGCAGGGGTCGAGTCACAGCTCCTGGCCCCGCCTCTTCGCTGATTGCTACTAGGTCCTCTCTCTCCCTGCCCCATGAGCTCTATCATACCTCGCCTTAAAACTATGTATGGTTCCTGCCTCCACTACATCCCTTTCTAGGCTATTCCATGGCCTGACTACTCTATGACTGAAGAAATACTTCCTAACATCCCTTTGATTCATCTGAGTCTTCAACTTCCAATTGTGACCTCTTGTGTCTGTGTCCCATCTTTGGAACATCACGTCTTTGTCCACCTTGTTTATTCCGTGCAGTATTTTATATGTCGTTATCATGTCTCCCCTGACCCTCCTGTCCTCCAGTGTCGTCAGGCCGATTTCCCTCAACCTTTCTTCGTAAGACAATCCCCGTAGCTCTGGGACTAGTCTTATTGCAAACCTTTGCACTTTCTCTAATTTCTTGACGTGCTTGACTAGGTGTGGATTCCAAACTGGTGCTGCATACTCCAGTATGGGCCTGACGTAGATGGTATACAGAGTCTTGAACGATTCCTTACTGAGGTATCGGAACGCTATCCATAGGTTTGCCAGGCGCCCGTATGCTGCAGCAGTTATCTGATTGATGTGCGCCTCAGGAGATATGCTCGGTGTTATACTCACCCCCAGATCTTTTTCCTTGAGTGAGGTTTGCAGTCTTTGGCCATCTAAGCTATATTGTGTCTGCGGTCTTCTTTGCCCTTCCCCAATCTTCATGACTTTGCATTTGGCAGGGTTAAATTCAAGGAGCCAGTTGCTGGACCAGGCTTGTAGCCTGTCCAGGTCTCTTTGTAGTCCTGCCTGATCCTCGTCCGATTTTATTCTTCTCATTAACTTCGCATCATCTGCAAACAAGGACACTTCTGAGTCTATCCCTTCCGTTATGTCGTTCACGTATACCAAGAACAGAACAGGTCCTAGGACTGACCCCTGTGGAACCCCGCTTGTCACAGGCGCCCACTCTGACACCTCGTCAGTGTGTGTGTGGCTCTAGTTCCTGGTCGTTGGTCCTATACAAGTACCAGTGTGTGTGTGGCTTTAGTTCCTGGTCCTTGGTCCTATACAAGTACCAGTGTGTGTATGGCTCTAGTTCCTGGTCGTTGGTCCTATACAAGTACCAGTGTGTGTGTGGCTCTAGTTCCTGGTCGTTGGTCCTATACAAGTACCAGTGTGTGTGTGGCTCTAGTTCCTGGTCGTTGGTCCTATACAAGTATCAGTGTGTGTGTGGCTCTAGTTCCTGGTCCTTGGTCCTATACAAGTGCCAGTGTGTGTGTGGCTCTAGTTTCTGGTCCTTTATCCTATACAAGTATCAGTGTGTGTGTGGCTCTAGTTCCTGGTCCTATACAAGTACCAGTGTGTGTGTGGCTCTAGTTCCTGGTCCCTGGTACTAACTCTACACCTCCTCCTCAGTGCCAGTGTCTTGCTCAGTGGCGCCACAGATTACAAGATCTTCAAGTCCCAGGAACTGGAGCTCAACTTCTACCGTAAGTATATACCCTGGATATTCCCTGTTTATACCCTGTAAATACCTTGTATATACCCTGTACTACTGATGACAGCGTCAGTGTTGGTAAGTCTGAGCACTGGGCAGCACTCCAGCACTGGGCAGCACTCCAGCACTGGGCAGCACTCCAGCACTGGGCAGCGCTCCAGCACTGGGCAGCACTAGCACTGGGCAGCACTCTAGCACTGGGCAGCACTCTAGCACTGGGCAGCACTCCAGCACTGGGCAGCACTCCAGCACTGGGCAGCACTCTAGCACTGGGCAGCACTAGCACCGGGCAGCACTCTAGCACTGGGCAGCACTCTAGCACTGGGTAGCACTCTACTGGGCAGCACTCCAGCACTGGGCAGCACTAGCACTGGGCAGCACTAGCACTGGGCACCACTCTAGCACTGGGCAGCACTCCAGTGGGCAGCACTCCAGCACTGGGCAGCACTCCAGCACTGGGCAGCACTCCAGCACTGGGCAGCACTCTAGCACTGGGCAGCACTCCAGCACTGAGCAGCACTTCAGCGCTGGGCAGCACTCTAGCACTGGGCAGCACTCCAGCACTGGGCAGCACTCCAGCACTGGGCAGAACTCCAGCACTGGGCAGCACTCCAGCACTGGGCAGCACTCTAGCACTGGGCAGCACTCCAGCACTGGGCAGCACTCTTGCACTGGGCAGCACTCTAGCACTGGGCAGCACTCTAGCACTCTAGCACTGGGCAGCACTCTAGCACTGGACAGCACTCCAGCACTGGGCAGCACTCCATCACTGGGCAGCTCCTTAGCACTGGGCAGCACTCTAGCACTGGGCAGCACTCCAGCACTGGGCAGCACTCCAGCATTGGTCAGCAGTCTAGCACTGGGCAGCACTCCAGCACTGGGCAGCACTAGCAGTGGGCAGCACTCCAGCACTGGGCAGCACTCTAGCAATGGGCAGCACTCTAGCACTGGGCAGCACTCCAGCACTGGGCAGCACTCTAGCACTGGGCAGCACTCTAGCACTGGGCAGCACTCTAGCACTGGGCAGCACTCCAGCACTGGGCAGCACTCCAGCACTGGGCAGCTCTTTAGCACTGGGCAGCACTGTAGCACTGGGCAGCACTCTAGCACTGGGCAGCACTCTAGCACTGGGCAGCACTCCAGCATTGGTCAGCAGTCTAGCACTGGGCAGCACTAGCACTGGGCAGCACTCCAGCACTGGGCAGCACTCTAGCAGTGGGCAGCACTGGGCAGCACTCTAGCACTGGGCAGCACTAGCACTGGGCAGCACTCCAGCACTGGGCAGCACTCTAGCACTGGGCACTCCAGCACTGGGCAGCACTCTAGCACTGGGCACTCCAGCACTGGGCAGCACTCTAGCACTGGGCAGCACTCTAGCACTGGGCAGCACTCTAGCACTGGGCAGCACTCCACTGGGCAGCACTCCAGCACTGGGCAGCACTAGCACTGGGCAGCACTCTAGCACTGGGCAGCACTCTAGCACTGGGCAGCACTCCAGCACTGGGCAGCACTCCAGCACTGGGCTGCACTCTAGCACTGACAGCACTCTAGCACTGGGCTACGCTCTAGCACTGGGCAGCACTCCAGCACTGACCACCACTGACCACTCCAGCACTGACTAGCACTCCAGCAGTGACCAGCACTGACCAGCACTCCATCAATGACCAGCACTCCACTGACCAGCAATGACCAGCACTGACCAGCACTCCAGTACTGACCAGCACTGACCAGCACTCCACTGACCAGCACTCCAGCACTGACCAGCACTCCAGCACTGACCAGCATTGACCAGCACTCCAGCACTGACCAGCATTGACCAGCACTCCAACACTGACCAGCACTCCAGCACTGACCACCACTGACCAGCACTCCTGCACTGACCAGCACTCCAGCACTGACCACCACTGACCAGCACTCCAGCACTGACCAGCACTGACCAGCACTGACCAACACTGACCAACACTGACCAACACTGACCAGTACTCCAGTACTGACCAGTACTCCAGCACTGACCAGCACTCCAGCACTGGCCACCACTGACCAGCACTCCAGCACTGACCACCACTGACCAGCACTCCAGCACTGACCAGCACTGACCAGCACTGACCAGCACTGACCAACACTGACCAACACTGACCAGCACTGACCAACACTGACCAACACTGACCAACACTGACCAACACTGACCAGCACTGACCAATACTGACCAACACTGACCAGCACTGACCAGCACTGACCAACACTGACCAGCACTGACCAACACTGACCAGCACTGACCAACACTGAACCAACACTGACCAACACTGACCAGCACTGACCAACACTGACCAGCAACTGACCAACACTGACCAACACTGACCAACACTGACCAACACTGACCAACACTGACCACGCACTGACCAACACTGACCAACACTGACCAAACACTGACCAACACTGACCAACACTGACCAACACTGACCAGCACTGACCAGCACTGACCAACACTGACCAACACTGACCAACACTGACCAACACTGACCAACACTGACCAACACTGACCAACACTGACCAGCACTGACCAACACTGACCAACACTGACCAACACTGACCAACATTGACCAACACTGACCAACACTGACCACCACTGACCAACACTGACCAGCACTGACCAACACTGACCAACACTGACCAGCACTGACCAACACTGACCAACACTGACCAGCACTGACCAGCACTGACCAGCACTGACCAGCACTGACCAACACTGACCAACACTGACCAACACTGACCAGCACTGACCAACACTGACCAACACTGACCAGCACTGACCAGCACTGACCAGCACTGACCAGCACTGACCAGCACTGACCAGCACTGACCAGCACTGACCAACACTGACCAACACTGACCAACACTGACCAGCACTGACCAACACTGACCAGCACTGACCAGCACTGACCAACACTGACCAACACTGACCAACACTGACCAACACTGACCAGCACTGACCAGCACTAACCAGCACTGACCAGCACTGACCAGCACTGACCAACACTGACCAACACTGACCAACACTGACCAACACTGACCAGCACTGACCAAACACTGACCAGCACTGACCAAACACTGACCCAACACTGACCAACACTGACCAACACTGACCAGCACTGACCAACACTGACCAGCACTGACCAACACTGACCAGCACTGACCAACACTGACCAACACTGACCAGCACTGACCAACACTGACCAGCACTGACCAGCACTGACCAACACTGACCAACACTGACCAACACTGACCAACACTGACCAGCACTGACCAACACTGACCAGCACTGACCAACACTGACCAACACTGACCAACACTGACCAACACTGACCAACACTGACCAACACTGACCAGCACTGACCAGCACTGACCAACACTGACCAACACTGACCAGCACTGACCAACACTGACCAGCACTGACCAACACTGACCAACACTGACCAACACTGACCAGCACTGACCAACACTGACCAGCACTGACCAACACTGACCAGCACTGACCAACACTGACCAACACTGACCAACACTGACCAACACTGACCAACACTGACCAACACTGACCAGCACTGACCAACACTGACCAGCACTGACCAGCACTGACCAGCACTGACCAACACTGACCAACACTGACCAACACTGACCAACACTGACCAACACTGACCACTGACCAACACTGACCAGCACTGACCAACACTGACCAACACTGACCAGCACTGACCAACACTGACCAACACTGACCAGCACTGACCAACACTGACCAGCACTGACCAACACTGACCAGCACTGACCAACACTGACCAACACATGACCCACCCAGCACTGACCAACACTGACCACACTGACCAACACTGACCAACACTGACCAGCACTGACCAGCACTGACCAGCACTGACCAACACTGACCAACACTGACCAACACTGACCAGCACTGACCAACACTGACCAGCACTGACCAACACTGACCAACACTGACCAACACTGAACCCCAACACTGACCAACAACTGACCCAGACACTGACCAACACTGACCAGCACTGACCAACACTGACCAGCACTGACCAACACTGACCAACACTGACCAACACTGACCAACACTGACCAACACTGACCAACACTGACACGCACATGACCAGCACTGACCAGCACTGACCAACACTGACCAACACTGACCAACACTGACCAACACTGACCAACACTGACCACTGACCAACACTGACCAACACTGACCAGCACTGAACAACACTGACCAACACTGACCAGCACTGACCAACACTGACCAACACTGACCAACACTGACCAACACTGACCAACACTGACCAGCACTGACCAACACTGACCAACACTGACCAACACTGACCAACACTGACCAGCACTGACCACACTGACCAACACTGACCAACACTGACCAACACTGACCAACACTGACCAAACACTGACCAGCACTGACCACAGCACTGACCAACACTGACCAGCACTGACCAGCACTGACCAGCACTGACCAACACTGACCAGCACTGACCAGCACTGACCAGCACTGACCAGCACTGACCAGCACTGACCAGCACTGACCAACACTGACCAAACACCACCAACACTGACCAACACTGACCAACACTGACCAGCACTGACCAACACTGACCAACACTGACCATCACTGACCAGCACTGACCAGCACTGACCAGCACTGACCAACACTGACCAGCACTGACCAACACTGACCAACACTGACCAACACTGACCAACACTGACCAACACTGACCAACACTGACCACCTGACCAACACTGACCAACACTGACCAGCACTGACCAGCACTGACCAACACTGACCAACACTGACCAGCACTGACCAGCACTGACCAACACTGACCAACACTGACCAGCACTGACCAGCACTGACCAGCACTGACAACACTGACCAACACTGACCAACACTGACCAACACTGACCAGCACTGACACA